GTGAAACCAGGGCTGTGGAGTCGAAGACAAAACCTTCGACTCCGACTCCTCAAATTTTTATGCTTCCGACTCCGACTCCTTGGCCTATTTGTAACAACTATTTCTACCATCCTAATTGTAATTTGTATGTTGTAACCTGCATAGGTAAAAAGTAAAACACCGTGGCTATACTGCTACAGCTTTATTAATGATCTGGACGATATTTAAGAACTACAAAAAGATGATAGGCTTGACTTTCAAAGTTTCAATCAAAAGAAAAATAAATTTATTAAGAATTCAAGATATTAACTAGAAAACACCATTTACATGTATATCTAAAAGTTCGATCTCAGCATATGAATTTTGTTTAAGCTCATAATCTGATGTGGATCTAAATGATGATCCTACAATTCCTTTTAAAGTAAAGTTATATATTTATGTACATTAAAGAAATGAATACCTTATTAAGGAAAATGGATAAACCTTACATGATTAAGTTATTAAATTAAATTTGCCTTAATCTCACCAAAAACAGGTTGTAGCTAATTGTTTTGTAGCTGAGAGCCTCTGTGCAGTTTTCAACGAAACAAAATTTGATATAATTCAAAATTTCAAATGGTAAAGAAGAGACTATCGTCCAAAATTATAGTGCTATACTGTGCCTGCTACAATAAGTTCATAATAATGCTTATAAAATGGAAATAAATTCTTTTAATAATTTAAGAAAATTAGTGGGATCAGTGGAATCACTGCAATGAATATGCCTGAGTTCATATATTTGTTCTTAGGAACAGAATAGCTTCAGTCGGAGTCGGAGTCGGAGTCTGGACAATTTTACCGACTCCGACTCCACAAGCCGAAATTTCCTCCGACTCCTCGACTCCGACTCCGACTCCACAGCCCTGATAGGTACTCCTGAATGTGCTGCTTAAGGATCTGTTAACCAAAATTTGATATCTTGATTATAACTTGTTCAAATGGCTTTTAGAAAATGTTCAAATGATTTTTAGAATATTTTAATTACTTTTGCAATGCTAATTACTAATAATAATAATAATAATAATAATTAACGGTTTATTGAAAGAGCTTGGCAGCCAGAAGGCTGAAAATATACAGTTACATATTTGGGGAATGGGTTACGAATTACAAATAATATACAAGGACATAAGTGACACAAATAAGACATATAGTAACTTAGATGGGGATCAGCTCAAACTACAGTTCATTTCAACATAGTGACAGTGTAGGGAGCAGTGTTTACTGGGAGTGAATACACTGATTTATTACATGTTATTGATAATTTTTACAATGGTTGGGACTGGGCTGTTCTTATAGCGATCAGTTCGTGCACGTATGGGCTGGATGCGGTTGTGGTGTCGAACAGCAATTCTCGGACAGGGGATCTCAGGTGGTAGTAGGGGCCGGTGTCGGGGATGGTGTAGAAGCTTCTTACCAAATTTGCAGATGAGGCCGTGGTGATGGTCAGTGAGAGTCGAAAGGGTCAGTGTGTTGAGCGCTTCTTGATATGTGGAGTAGGAAGGGGAGAGAATAATCTTGCATGCCCTCTTTTGCACTTTTTCTAGGTGTTTACGTTGTGTGGCATTTAGGGAGGAAGACCAGGTGGGGGAGGCATAGGTGAGCTTGGGAAGTATGAATGTTGTGTATACACTGAGGAGCTCGTGTGCGGGAACTCCGAGGGACTTGAGTCGGCGGAGGAGGTGGAGACGGAAACTGGAGGATTTGACAACTTCACTGACGTGTGGTTTCCAATTTAGTTTGTTGTCTATGGTGACGCCGAGGAGCTTCGTGGAATCTACAACCTGGAGTGTGTTCGGACCTAGGGTAATGGAAGGAGGTGGGACAATGTCGGAGGAGAGGTTGATGTGCATAACCATGGTCTTGGTATGGTTGATGGTGACATGGTTGTTGGTGGCCCAGTTTTGGAGACTGTTCAATAAATCCTGAAGGGCGGTATAGTTGGGAGCAGAATTGTTGACGCTGATCCCAATGGTGGAGTCGTCGACATATTTCCAGCGAGCAGGGGTTTCTCTTAGGGCATCATTGATGAGCATAAGGAAGCAGAGTGGTCCCATCTTGGTGCCTTGGGGGACGCCACAGGTGAGTGACTGAAAGGTGGAGACAGCCCCTCGGAAGCGTACAGCTTGGCGTCGGTCACTGAGGAAGTCTGTAAGCCATGGTATGAGACTTCTCCGAAGCCCGAGGTCAATAGCTTTGTTTATGATTATATTGTGGTCGACTAGGTCGAAGGCTTTGGTGAAATCAATGAAGGCGACAGCTACAGACGTTTTTCGTTTCTCGAGATGGCGGTATATGTAGTCGCCACTTATGGGTTTTCGAGGTCATTTCTTGGTGCTTGTGTATTATTCTGGATGTACTTAAATAGTTAGGCACATTAAATTTTAGTTCAGAGAGAAAACGAATTTTTGGCAGTCAAACACAAAAACTTTCGCTACAGATTAGGGCTGGGTATTAGTGATTGCAATAGGCCGTAGCTGATTTAAGGATTGTGGGCTGGTTGACTGGGCACTGGTGAGTTACAAGGAAGAGGTCTCTCCAGTCAG